CTTGTTCTAGCCTGTTGCTTAAGCTATCAGTTGGATTTTTTATTTTGTTGAAGGAATTCTTCAGTTACAGGATTTCTGGTTGGTTCTTTTTTATGATATCTATCTCTTTGTCAAATTTCTCATTCAAGTCCTGCATTTTTTTTTCTGACTTCATTGTGATTTCTGTTTTTTCTTGTATCATGTTGAGTTTCATTTGGATTTCCTCTTCAGGCATTTTACCAAAAACAAGGAGTTGCTATACTTATATTGGATAACCTTAAACCAAAAGCTATTAAAAAAAAGGATATTATATAATGATAAAGGGACCAATGCAGCAAGAAAATATAATAATAATAAATATATATGACTCAACATCAGAGCACCCAGATATATAAAGCATATGTTATTGGATCTGAAGGAAGAGATAGATCTTAATACAATAATAGTTGAGGAATTCAACACCCCTGTCTCAGCATTACATAGATCATCTAGACAAAAAAATTAGCAGGTAAATACTGGATATAAACAGCACTTGAAACCAAACAGACTTGATAAACATTTACAGGACATTTCATCCAACAACTGCAGAATGTACATTCTTCTCAACAGCACATGGATTATTCTCCAGGATGACCACATGTTAGGCCACAAATTGAGTGTAAATGAATTCAAAAAGATTGAAATAATATCAAGTATTTTTACCGACCACAACAGAATAAAACTGGAAATCAAGAACAAGCAAAACCTTGGAAACTATAGAAATACATGGAAATTGAACAACATGCTCCTGAATGACCAATGGGTCAAAGAAAAAACAAAGAAGGAAATCAAAAAATTCCTTGAAACAACTGAAAAAACAAGCACAACAAACCAAAACCTATGGGATACTGTGAAAGCAGTACTAACAGGGAAGATTATTGCAATAAGTACCTACATTTAAAAAGTTGAAAGATCCTAAATAAACAACCAAACATTACACCTCAAGGAGCTAGAAAAACAAGAATGATCCAATCCCAGAATTAGTAGACAGAAAGAAATAATAAAAATCAGAGCAGAACTAAATGAAATAGAGACAAAAAAAAAGAAAAGATCAATGAAACAAAGAGTTGATTTTCTGAGAAGATAAACAAAATTGACAGACCATTAGCTAGACTAACCAAGAAAAGAGAGAAGACACAGATATCAAAAATCGGAAATGAAAAAGAGACATTGCAACTGATTCCACAGAAATACAAAGAATCATTATGGAATATTATCAACAACTATATGCTAACAAATTTGAAAATATAGAGGAGGTGGATAAATTTTTGGACACATAGAACTGACCAAGAATGAACTAGGAAGAAATAGAAAACCAAAACAGACCAATAATGAGCAATGAGATTGGATCAGTAATCAACAGTCACCCAACAAAGAAAAGCCCAAGACTATATTGCTTCACTGCTAAATTCTACCAAACTTTTAAAGAAGATTTAATACCAATTCTTCTCAAACTGTTCCAAAAATTAAAGCAGGGAGTATTCTCCCAAATTCATCTATGAGGCCAGCTTCACCCTGATACCAAAATCAGACAAAGACACAACAAAAAAAGCTACAGGCCAATATCCTTGATGAACTTAGATGCAAAAATTCTCAATAAAGTACTAGCAAACAGTACCCAACAGCACATCAAAAAGATTACACACCATGATCAAATGGAATTTATCCCAGGGATGCAAGGATGGTTCAACATGCACAAATCAGTAAATGTGATACACTGCATCAACAAAATGAAAGATAAAAAACCACATGATTGCCTCAATAGATGCAGAAAAAGTATTTGATAAAATTCAACATCCCTTCATGATAAGAACTCTCAATAAGTTAGGTACAGAAGGAAAGTATCTCAACACAATAAAAGCCCAATACAACAAACCAACAGCTAACATCATCCTGAACAGAGAAAAGTGGAAAGCTTCTCCTCTAAGATCAGGAAGAAGATAAGGATGCTCTCTCTCACCACTTCTATTTAACATACTTCTGGAAGTTCTAGTCAGAGCAATTAAGCAAGAGAAAGGAATAAAGGGCATCCAAATTGGAAAAGAGGAACTTGAATTGTCCCTGTTTGCAGATGATATGATCTTATATATAGAAATTAAACACTACACCAAAAACGACTTAGAGTTGATAAGCAAAATCAGTAAAGTTGCAGGATATAAAATCAATCTACGAAAGTCAATAGCACTTCTGTACACCAACTAGCAGAAAAATAAATCAAGAAAGCAATCTCATTTATAATAACTACCAAAAAAATAAAATATCTAGGAATAAATCTAACCAAGGAGGTGAAAGATCTCTACAATGAAAACTACAAAATGCCAATGAAAGAAAATAAAGACACCAAAAAGAAAAAAAAATGGAAAGACATTTCATGCTCATGTATTAGTAGAATTAATGTTGTGGAAATGTCCATACTACCCAAAGCAATCTACAGATTCAGTGTAATCTCTATCAGAAAATCAATGACATTCCTCACAGAAATAGAAAAAGCAATCCTAAGAGTCATCTGGAACAACAAAAGACCCTGAATAACCAAAGAAATCCTGAGGGAAAAAAAATAAAGCTGGAGGCTTTACACTACCTGAGTTCAAATTATACTACAAAGCTATAGTAACCAAAACAGCATGGTATTGGCATAAAAGCAGACACTTGAACCAATGGAACAGAATAGAAAACTCAGAAATAAGCCCACATATTTATAGCCAACTGATCTTTGACAAAGGTGCTACAAACATTCATTGGGGAAAGGACAGCCTCTTCAATAAATGGTGCTTGAAAAACTGGATATCCATGAGTAGAAGAATGAAACTCAACCCCTATCTCTCACCATACACAAGAGTCAACTCAACACAGATTAAAGACTTAAATGTAAGACCTGAAACTATAAAACTTCTGGGATAAATTGCAGGGAAAATGCTCCAAGACATAGGTCTAGGCAAAGATTCTATGAATAAGACCTTAAAAGCACAGGTGACAAGAGTAAAAGTAAACAAGTGGGATTTTATCAAACTACAAAGCTGCTGCACAGGAAAGGAAACAACCAACAGAGCAAAGAGAACCTACATAATGGGAAAAAAATAGTTGCAAACTATGCATCCAGCAAGGGGCTAATATCCAAAATGTGCAAGGAATTCAACTCAATAATAAAAAAAGTAAACATCCAATTGAAAAATATGCAAGGGAGTTGAATAGACATCTGTCAAAAGAAGATATACAAATGGCCAACTGGTGTGTGAAAAAGCGCTCAATATCACTAATCAGGGAAATGCAAAACAAAACCACATTGAGATATCATCTCACCCCAATTAGGATGGCTATTATCAAAAAAAGAATAACAAATGCTGGTGAAGATGTGGAGAAAGAGGAACCCTCATACATTGTTGGTGGGATTGTAAATTAGTACAGCCATTTTGGAAAACTGTATGGAGGTTCCTCAAACAACTACAGGTAGAACCAGCATATGACCCAGCAATCCCACTGTTGGGTACATACCCAAAGGAATGGAAAGCATCATGTCAAAGGGATACCTGCACTCCCATGTTTATCACAGCTCTATTCACAATAGCCATGATATGGAACCAACGTAAATGTCCATGGACAGATGATTGGGTAAAGAAAATGTGGTACATGTACACAGTGGAACACTACTTAGCCATAAAAAAGAATGAAACTCTGCCATTTGCAGCAACATGGATGAACTTGGAGAAAATTATGTTAAGTGAAATAAGCCAGGCACAGAAGGAGAAATACCGCATGTTCTCACTCATACGTAGGAGCTAAGAAAGAGAACAAAACAAAAGCAATAAACAAATAAATAAATAATAATAACAATACATTGAACTGTTAAATAGAGAGGAAATAATTATGGTTACTAAAGGCTAGAAGGGGGTGAGGAGAGAGGGTAAGGTGAGAGACTTGTTAATGGACACAATATTACAGTGAAATAGGAAAAACGAGTCCTATTGGTGTACAGTTGACCCAGGAATCTATAATTAACAATGATTTACTGCACGTTACCATAGGACTGGAACAGAAGTGATCAAATGTGCACATAACAAAGAAATTATTTGGTACCAGCCAACCGCCAAAAACAATACACACACACATATTCACACATACACGCACACACACACACACACAAAGAATGGATCATTACATATCATATACATATATGGTGTACTCCATAAATATGTATAATCAGTAAGTTTTAATTAAAACATTTTTTTTCAATAAATTTTTTAAAAAATAAATTTTGTTTGTTTAGCAGTTTTATCAAGTTATATTTCACACAGGGTAACTTTCACCCATTTAAAATGTACGACTCAGGGGCCTTGAGTATATTCACAAATTTGTGTAACCATCACCACAATCAATTTTAGAATATTTAAAAGGCTTTTATACACAGATTGTACCGATTTGATCCCTAGTTTATAAAAATGTAAGAAGGTCTTCCTACATCTCAACAATAATTTGAAAGTCAGAATCTTCCTATAACAAAACCATCTCAAAATCTTGCCTTTAATTAATATCCAACATATACAATCTCAGTTTCTTTGAAACCCCTTTCTTATGATGGATTTTCAAAACCTTTTTCCTATTGCTTCTTGCTGCTGTCAGGCCTCTGTGAAGGCTCCCTAGGCCCAGCTGCAGCGAATGAGGAATAAAAGATAAACATGTGACCCGTGGTAACCGTGATGCAAGGCTAATGACTTCTGGTAGTTTCAGAACGTTCATAGACAAGGGCATCTTCCATTGACATGTGCTTACTCATGTGCAGTGTCTTTCCTTTTTATTCCTTTTTTGTGTATTGTTCGAAATGTACATTCTTGTTTATTGTCCTCATTCTACAACTTTTTATCTGCATACATTTTTCCTCTCTTTATTTGCCTCACATCCCTGAACTATCAAACTTGGAGAATTTAAAGTTTTTTCTATTTTATATCTTGTCTACATATTGCCTAAGTGATATTTTTGTCTATTAGGTTGACTACATCAAAGGAAAACTATGGAATAATGAAAGATGTTTTGCTAACAGAGAACACTTTGAAGGTAAATTTTGGTTAAAGATATATTAACAGGCTTTTATCAATATAGATAACATATACAGATTAAATAAAATGACAAAGTAAAAATGTAAAGATAGGTTTTTTGGTATAAGCTTATGGCCTAAAACAGAGATATCTGAGACAATAGGCACACCTGCTATAAGTGCAAAAATTGTATTCAAGTATTCGTTGTATTCATTGATGATACATCACTTCTATTATTTTTTATGAAGACTATTTTATTAGAACTAACCCTTCTAGTTTTAGAAATATAGATGCTTCTCATTAATTTCTGTGCCTTTATATTTATAGTTGATTATGTCAGTATCATCTTTGACAGAAACAGGACCCTAAGTGAGGTATGATATTGAATATTTTAAAAGGTAAGAAATTTTACTGTATATGATTTCATGGGTTTTTTACTAACATAAAAAATGGCAGTTTTATGGACTGAAAGGTTTGGCAACCACTCTTTGCTCCCTATGATGTCTCAACTTGGGTTTAATGGTAGTTACCTAATCATGTTAAATATGAACCTGCACAATGATTCTGGACCTACACAGTGATTCTCTTTCTGGTATGGATTGAAAATAATGCATACCAGAAAGAAATGTTTTGCAGTGTTTTATGGACTCACTGTCCAGAAGGGAGGCACAGACATTAAAGATTTAAAAATATAACTTGTGGTCATTCAGGACAGCACAATGGTTCATTAGTCCATGATCCTATGAGAACTCATTACAACTTATATTTTTTCCAAAACAGCATTAGCTTTTCCTTTCTCTTTTTGCAGGCAAGCTCTTGCTTTTATAGTAAAGAACCATTTCTTCAGTGGTCACCTTGCTTACATTATAATTCAAAAGGAGTAAAAAATATTCCTCCAAGTGTAATAACATTTCTTGTTGACCAAGAGCATGGTACTGGAGTCTACCTCTTATTTAACCAGGTAGGCCTTATATCCCAGAGGTGATTGCTCTCGACACTGTAATAATGAAAATTTACCTTACTAAAAGTTATTTCCAAGATCTTGTTATCTTTGGCAATAGAACCCAATAAAATTGGCTACAGCAAAATTATTTAAAATTAACAATATAATTTGACACTTTAGAGATTTCTTGCCTCTGATTGCGATTCAGTTTGCTGAAAATGGAAAACCTGATGCTATTTGCATAGTGATTTCGCCATGCTAATTCTCCAGGAGAATAAAAGCTGAGTTTTTTCTACATAAATTTAAGCTTTCATAACGTGGTTAGTTACAATGAACAAAAAATGGAGCTAATTGCCACAGATTTATATTTTCTATTCTAAAGGTCTTTAACCCTAGCTGTGAATTAGAAATATTCTTAGAGCCATTAAAATATATACAAGTTCAGCCCCTACCTTAAAGATTTTCGGGAAGGGAAATACCTTTTTTCTCTACTCTCTTATGTTAAGTGACTGGGGCCCTGCAAATTAAACTGACAAAAGACATATTGATAGGAGAAAAGAAAATGTTTATTTATGTGTGCAGTGTGCTTATATGTGGTCAAAACTCAGTGATGCATAACCGAAAGGGATCGTTAGAATTTGGAAGTTATATACCATCTTAATAGGTAAAGAGGAAGGGGGAAAAGGCACTTATGGGAAAACAAATGACTTTTTTCAAAATATGAATGAGTTTTCAGGAGAGCAAACAGGAGATAAGAATGTCTATACAAGTACAAGTGGATTTTCATTTCCTTCAGGGTCAAAAACCTTCCCTGAAGAAGAGATATGGGGTAGATTTTATTTGCATTCTCCCTTCTGAGAGAACATATGCCCTGGAGAGGAATTGATAACAGCCTCATTTTCCAGAAGTTGCTAAAAAATAAAGGAAGTTCTGAGAAGGCCTTTTTCCTGCATCTGTTGAATCTTAAAGGTCTTCAGTTTAAAATTATCTTGATACCAAAGTGGCAAATTTTGGGGTGTCATATTCTTATCCCCCTCAAGATCATGATCCAATGGAATGGAGGTATGGTTTTAGCATCCACGCATTTTCATGCTAGTTATGAGCGTGGGCATTGTAGTCTGTCTGCTGATTTCAGTAATGACTCTAATGATTTGAGTAGTAACTAAATCTTCCTGTGTTGTTTATTATAGAACCTTGGACAAATTGTTTCATCTCCCAAACTTCACTTTCAGCATCTATAGAATGGGTGTGTTGGTTGGGGGGGGGGGGGGGCAGGAAGAATAGAGATATCAATGATTGCTAATCCTTCTAGCTCTGTGCTGCTTATGGGTTTGTCCCTGTCTTAATCAAAATCCAAGTAACAGGAAAATCTAAAAATGGGTGTGTTGGTGGGGGGGGGGGGGTGCAGGTAGAATAGAGATATCAATGATTGCTAATCCTTCTAGCTCTGTGCTGCTTATGGGTTTGTCCCTGTCTTAATCAAAATCCAAGTAACAGGAAAATCTAAAAATTCTAATGTGGACTAATAATAATGGAAACATTCTCATGACTTGTTCATGCTTTGTTTATCTAGATCCAGAAAATTGCCACGGCCTTTGTGTGTATTCTAAAAAATAACAGACTAAGCGAACTACCAAAATTTCCACCTTTCCAGTTTCCTTCATCATTCTCTTCTCCTGTTGGAATGGTATTTCACCCCCGAAGCCACTTTCTCTATGCTTATGGCAATCAGGTGTGTACACGTGACATTTTACACTCAGTATGGGGTAGATTATCTGCTTACTGTATGCTGAGTGGTTGTCCATAAAGAACAGAGCTGCTCTGATGACCAAGGAGATAGAAGTGGAAGGGTAGACAATGAATATTGACTATTTATAGTGCGCTAAGCTTAGCTTCTATTGTCAGTTTTTACCTTTGAGCTAGTTCACTGGCTGATAAAAATGAGCCATGGGTACACCAGAGTTGTCTTGAATTTTGCCAATTACAATAAATTTCTTTCCAATTCTGAATGACCTAGATTTTGCCATTAACCCATTAAAAGTGTGTTTGTATCTAGTGTTTCCAGCATTTCACATTTGGCTTTCTCTATTTGACTTTGTCTAAGCTTGACTTTCTGGCTCTGTTGTTCCTTAAGCTCCTTCTGGTAGCATTTTCCATCCTCTGGCCACACTTTTTAGTCAGTTCTGTATCAGTAGCCTGAAAGCTTGGTAAAGGTGTAGCTATACCACCTATGGGGCCTTAGGCAGGTTAAAAGTAAGGAGCACAAAATATGAAACATTAAGTAAACTTCAGAAGTAAGAAAGCACTGCAATGACTTCCAATGAAAGCTACTAATGTTTCTCAGGGGTGTTTCTCAAACATCCCTATTCTATGCAAAATTTAGAGATTTGTAAAGGTGATACACTAAATGTTTTAGTTTTAGTTTTGCACTAAATGTTTAAAACTTCTCATTTCTCTTTGACCCTTGAATTTTTGTTACTCATATATGAGGAACAAAATTTCCATTCTGTGGTGCCCAGGTTGCTTCACACATACAACAGGCAATCATCTAAATAAACTTCCTGAGCATGCATTTCTCCTAGTCTCCATCTCATGTTTTTCTTCTCTGAACCTCTCCAACTGTAGTAGAACTCTATAACTTGATTTAACCCATTTTTTGCCAAAGTGGCTGCTTCATTGACTTCTGTTCTGGAATTCCTAGGGCCCATGGATTGGAAACTAATGGTGGTGCAAGGAGTTATTGTACTTGAATTTAATGGTTGAAAATGTGTAGATCTGAAATTTTGCCAGCATGCTATATGTCTCAAAAGTTTTCATTTTTGTGTGTTTTGATGGTGCACAATAAATAATCAGAATTGAAATTAAAGGGCCTTATAAAGTGTCCTCCAAAACTAAGCTAAGAAATGGTACCAATAGTCGAACATGAGGAGTTTAGGAAGGCTGAGGAATTGGAACAACTCGTATGGGAACAGATAAACAATAACTACAACTGATGTGAGTCTAATAGAGCTTATAAAATGGCCCTGTTAAGTGAGAACATAAACTATAACGAGAATCATATTATGTATTTTGGAGGTGGAGTAGGTCTATAAAACAAAATCTAAGATAATTCTGTCATTTGGATGCTCAGGGGATAGGAGTAAATGATGCTGGTGCGCTATCCTCTTGGGCTTGTGGTCTCTATTTAACTTCAGTGTTCATCCTGCATTTTTATGACTACTTCAGGTATTTGGGATGAATGCAAGACATGTAGAAACCTTATTCCTTGTGTTCAGTGCTTGAATGTGGCCAACAAGGGCTGGGTTTTGTGTAGAAGAAAAATTTGGGCATAGACTGTATATATTGATACTTATACCTTTTTAACATATCAGGTAAGTATTCTTTAACAATAACCCTTTGGATGCTGTGATGGTTTCTGGCAGACATTGTTAAAGATAAGCACTTATCTGCTGACAATGGAGTGACACTTGTGATTGCTTATGGCAAATCAACACACAAAAATCAGTTCTGTTCCTATGCACTAAAATTGAACAATCTGAAAAAACAATTAAGAAAACAATTCCATTTACAATAGCAGTAAAGAATAAAATAAATATCAAAAAGAATAAAATATGTAGGAATAAATCTAACCAAGGAGGTGGAAAACTTATATACTGAAAACTACAAAACATTGCTGAAAAAATTAAAGACATTAAAGAAATTAAAATAAATGGAAAGACATCTTATATTCATAGATTAGAAGATTTAATATTACTAAGATGTCAGTACCACCCAAAATGATCTACAGATAAAATGCAATCCCTATCAAAATGCCAATGGCATTTTTTTGGCAGGAAAAAAAATAATCATCCTAAAATTCATGTGGAATCTCAAGGGACTTGGAATAGCCAAAACAATTTTGAAAAGGAAGAATAATGTTGGAGGACTGACACTTCCTGATTTCAAAAAATATTACAAAGCATGATTTGATAGTAATTTTGATTTGATCAACATATGTCAACATTGAATCCCCCAAAAATGTATAATCAATTATGATTCAATAAAAAAATTTTTTTTATCAACATATGTCAACATTGAATCCCCCAAAAATGTATAATCAATTATGATTCAATAAAAAAAATTTTTTTTAAAGTCCCCTTGTTTTTTTGGCAGGTGGAGGGGGAAAAAACATTGCAAATACACCAGAGCATTCTGTTCTTAACAAGATTGGCCCTGAGGAGAAACTACTTAACCAGAGACTAACTTGCTGGGGTTTTTATCAGAGACTAACTGACCCAGGGGAAGTAAAACACCCAACTTCAGTCCCTCTAGCCATCTTGTCCCACCAAAGGAGGGAAAAACTGAGAAGCATGTGTAAAGTTCATAGTTCAGAGGTACAGCCTAACTAAAAAACTGAGACCTACTCATAGGACTATAGAACATTTCCTTTCCCCCCACACTGTACCACAACATTACTAAAAGCCTATTCACAGCAGTTCAATTTACCCAGTACATTATATGTGGGTTTAAAGAAAAAAATCACAAGACATACTAAAAGGCAAAAACACAGTTTGAAGAGACAGAGCAAGCATCAGAACCAGACTCACATACGGTAGAGATGTTGGAATTATCAGACCAGGAACTTAAAACAGCTATGATTAAGAGGTGAAGAGCTATAAAGGATAAAATAGGCAGCATGCAAGAATAGATGGGAAATGTAAGCAGAGAGAAGGAAATCCTAAGAAAGAACCAAAAAGGGAACAAAAACACCATACCAGAAATGAAGAATGCCCTTCCTGGGCTTCTTGGTAGACTTGACATGGCCAAAGAAAGAATATCTGTGCTTGAGGATATCTGGGTTGAAACTGTCAAAAACTGAAAAGCAAAGAGAATAAAGACTGAAAAAGAAAGAACAGAATATTCCTGAACTGTGAGACAACTACAAAAGGTTTAATTACTTGTAATGAGATACCAGAAGGAGAAGAAAAAGAGAAAAGAATAGCAGAAATGTTTGAAACAGTATCAGCCACCAAATCTAAGATCCAGGAAGGTCAGAAAACACAGAGCAAAAAAAAAAAAAAAAAAAAAAAAAAAAAAAAAAAAAAAAAAAAAAAAAAAAAAAAAAAAAAAAAAAAAAAAAAAAAAAAAAAAAAAAAAAAAAAAAAAAAAAAAAAAAAAAAAAAAAAAAAAAAAAAAAAAAAAAAAAAAAAAAAAAAAAAAAAAAAAAAAAAAAAAAAAAAAAAAAAAAAAAGCCAAAAAAAACTAATCTAGGCACATCACTTTCAAACTATAAGAAATCAGAGATAAAGAAAAAAAATCCTGAAAGAAGCCAGAGACTGGGGGGCAAGGGGGGGACAAACACACACACAAAAAAAGCTTTTCTATAAAGCAGCAAAAATAAGAATTGCACCCAATTTTTTTTCTCAGAAACCATGCAACCAAGAAGAGAGTGAACTGAAATATTTATAGTATTGAGAAAGAAAAAAACACACCCACCAAGAGTTCTATACCCTGCAAAAATATCCTTCAAAAATGAAGGAGAAATAAAGACTTTCCAGACAAGCAAAATTTGAGGAAATTTATTGCCAATATTTCTGCCTTGCAAGAAATGCTTTTTAAAAAATTCTTTTGAGATAAAGAAAATGGTAAAGGTCAGAAACTTGGCTCTACACAAAGGAAAATCACTGAAGAAAAAAATAAATGAAGGTAAAATAAAAAGTTTTTCTCTTTATTCCTAATTAATCTAATTAATAGTTCCAAATAATAATAACAATGTATTTGCATATTTATTTATCTATGTATGCTTACATATATGTGAAATGAATGACAGCAATTATACAAGGGATGGGAGGGAGAAATCAGAATTATTTTGTTTTTACAAGGTACTCACACTGTCCATGAAGCAGTATAGTGTTATTTGAAAGCAGATATGGACAGTTATAAATATATATTGTGAAACTAGCACCACTAAGAAAAGTGAAAAAAAAAGGGTATAACTAAAATGCTAATAAAGGAGAAAATGGAACCATACAAAGTACTTAATTAAAGCCACAAAAGGCAGGAAAAGAGTGGAAGACAAAAATAGGAACAAAAAATAAGGACAACAAATAGAAAACAGTCATGAATATGGTAGATATTAATCCCATTATGTTAGGGAGTAGCTTTATTAATTTCAAACAGAGCAGACTTTAGAACAAGGAAACTTATCAGGGACAATGGGGCATTAAATAATTTTAAAGGGGTCAATTCCCCAAGAAGATTTAACAATCATTAATGTGTGCCTAGCAGCAGAACGTCCAAAATACATGAGGCAAAAATGGATAGAACTGTAAGGAGAAGTAGATGAATCCACTGTTATGTTTGGAGACTTCAACACCCCTCTGTCAAAAATGAACAGATCCAGCAGGTAGAAAATCAATAAGGGCATAGGTTAACTCAACAGTGCCATCAATCAACTGAATGCAATGGACATCTCTAGACTACTTCATCCAAAAACAGCAGAATACACACATTTCTCAAACTCACATGGAACATTCACTAAGATAGATAACATTCTGGGCCAGAACACACACCTCAACAAATCTAAAAGAATAGTAATTATACAGTGTCCATTCTCAGAACACAATGGAATTAAACTAAAACTTAAAAACAGAAAGATAACCAAAATACCAAAATTTTTGGAAAATACCAAAATACTAGGAGATTAAACAAAACATTCCTAAATAACACATGAGTCAAAGACAAAATGTCAAG